ACAATAAAATACTAAAATCAACAACTCAAATAACAATAATTTATTTCCTCCAATAATTTATATTCTCCAACTCCAATAATAATAATTTATCTTTAAACAATTAACTGTTTGAACTATCTTTAAACAATTAAAAATTAAAATCGTACGATTTTAAAATAATCTTTACTTTCATTATCCTGCTGTGTTAACTAAAAAAAAAAAAAAAACCATCTGCATTTAAACTAGACTAGGTTAAATGTTTATTATCTTGGTGCGATTGAACCATTGCAATTTTATTAAGTAAAAAGTTTAAAGCGGAAATTTTTACCCCATTGAATATTTTTAAATTAATTAATGATAATTAATAACTGTTCAATTATTAATTAGATAATTATTGACTGGTTTTTTTATAAGGAAACGTTAATTATAATTTTTAAATGCTTCAATTTGGCAGAATTCATGGTATTTATTGAAGAAATATGACAATTCTGACAAAAAAAGTTGTCAGAAAATTTGAAAGAACAGATATGTTTGAAGTATTTCTGTAGTGCTGCCATCTTATGTCGTTGATAATCATTACTGCTGAACTTCAAAAACAATGCTTTAGGTGGGGCAAATGATAGTTAGAAACATTCATATAAGGAATAATGCGCAATCTTTTCAAAACAATGACAAGGAAAGATAAAGTTTTAAAAAAACATCGGCAGTGTTTTAAAAATTAAAAATGATATTCGTTCATAGATAATTTATCCTGAATCAAGAAGGCAATTTCATCTGATTCTCTTATCCTTATATTGGAGTTCGAATCATGTTCAGTTCTTAAATGGATAGAGTGCATTTATGAGAAAAGGGATTATCATATGTTGCTCAAGGGTAACAGTAAACAGTGCTCATGCGTTGTCATTGCATGCGTTGCTATGGCGACCGCTGCCATTTGATAGTCTTTTTAGAATTCTTTTTTTCACTTTAATTTTATTACGCATTAAGTTGGCGAGTTTGTTTTTGAGATATGGGACCAGAGAGTTCTCAAAAATAATTTTTGAGTTGTGAATAAAAGAGAATTTCATCATTTGAATTTCAATTCTGAATTCAATTCTTGAATAGTTATCGCGAAATCAAATTTGAATATGCAACAGCTTTAAAATTGAATTTCTCTGATACTATTCGACCGATTTTACTCTAATTTTTTGTCTTGTTGTTTAAAATTTATTTCCTCATAATTTAAAATGTTTTGTATACCTGACATATTTAAAATTTTATCAATTATTCTTAAATAATAATAATAATAATTATGCATATACAGTGGTTTCCAAAAGTGTGGATATTTTTTGAAAGTTTCATGTTTTTCAACTTTGTATGCTTGTAGAATATATCAATTTTCTCTTAAATACAAACGTTTACATATCAAATCGAAGGTAATTTAACGTAGAATTTAATAATAATACAGTATTATAATATCTTTATTACAAAAAAAGTTATGCAACTAATAGTAAGATCTATCTTAGATTTGCATTTTTTTAAAGTGATACTTACACAATCAATACTTAGTAGGATAACCCTTATTTTTTAAGACAGCTTCACAGCGTTTTTTCATCGAGTGAACGAGTGTTTGGAGTTCATCTTTCGTAATCACATGGTGCCAAGAATCAATTATAGCTGCACTTAGTTGTTTTTTATTGGATGGACGTTTTTTTCGTACAAGAATTTTCAAACGTCGCCACAAATTTACAATTGGATTGAGATCAGGGCTGTTTCCTGGCCATGGTAATATATATCTAAGCCTTTATTTTAATACTATGCTTTGTATACTTTTGCTGTGTGGCATGGTAATATATCTAAGCCTTTATTTTAAAACTATGCTTTGCATACTTTTGCTGTGTGGCATGGAGCTGAATCCTGCTGAAAAATAAATGGTGCGTTGTTGGGGAAGGTGTCCCTGATGGAAGGTATCAATTTTGGCTTCAGAACAGTTTCGATGTATTTTTTGGCATTCAGGATACCATCAATCACTTGAATTCGGCCCACACCATCTGCAGATATACATGCCCAAATCATGACATTTGTTGGATTTTTAGTAGTTGCTTCAATGCAATCAGGNCTTCAATGCAATCAGGATGAAGTGCTTCACCTACTCTACGTCTCACGTATTTTCTACCATCACTACTAGAGAGCGATATTTTACTCTCTACGCTGCAGATTACTTGCTTCCATTGATTTTCTGACCATTTAATATGTTCTTTTGCCCACTTAACTCGTTTTTCGCGTTGCTTTTAATTTAAATATGGTTTTTTCCTTGGAATTCTAGCTTGTAGTCCAAATCTACCCGCTGCATTCATTTCACATCTAATGGCATCTGATGAAATTTTTCTATCTTGAAGGCATAGCCGTTTAATTTTTCTATCGGCAGTAGCACTTGTGCATTTTTTCGGCCTGATTTGGCTTTATTTTCCACTGATTTCGTTTTTTCATAACGTAAACAGAACTTTCGTACACCAGAACAAGTCACTGAATCACCAACTTGTCTTGCAATTTCAGCACAAGAGAGGCCATTTTCTCTCAATGTGCTAGTTCGGCTTCTTTTTTTAGATATCCAATCGGTTCTTCTTGTTGATGACATTGTTTAAAATTAGTTTAATTAAAAAAAATGACTTTAAATATTCAAAAAACAGCAATACTCTATTTAATTGTACTAGCATGCATCATTCCTAAAAATATTTCCACAACAATAACTCTTTTACCATCCAAATAACCTAAACTATAGTTACAGACATTTGATTGGTCCTAAGAACAGTGTTTGTGATTGGCTAGAACGCTTTTATTACAAAACACGTCCTTATTCAAAACGATTTGTGTTTGTTTGTTCTACTAAAATGAGCATTACTTTTTTTATAATATCGATATTTTAATTCTGTTTTGTAATTAAATTTTGCATTAAATTACCTTCAATTTGATATATAAACGTTTGCATTTAAGTGAAAATTAATATATTCTACAAGCACACAGAGTTGAAAAACATNATATTCGATTAAATTTTATCAAATAAAGTAATGTAAAATTCTATAAAATCCTGTATTTGTCACACGTTTTTTCTTTATTCCTTCATATTTGTTCAGCTTTTTTAAACGAAGTATTGTAAAAAAGAATATTTCAAATTTGTATTTTTAACTTTAAAAAATTGAGTAAAAAATGCAATTTTTTATCATGAAAATTTACCTAAGAAATTGCTTTTTTTAAAAATATCCTTATCATTTAAAAAGCTAACCACTAGAAGCTTTGACAGCTAAAACTTCTGAACTTTTGTGGTTAGATTGGTATAGCAGTCTGTTCCTATTCACTGTTCATCCACAACTCAAAATAATATTAACCACTTCCTTCTGACGCAGAGTTTTATTACCTCTTTTCCCATTGGTCAGATTTTATCATTACTTTTAAAAAAAGTATTATATAAGTGGCGGTTTCTATTAACTAACTGCATCTGCTCTTGCCACAACTTATACAATAATAGATGTACTACATCCGACAACTGGTATTTATCTGATACGTTTAAATAGTAACTATTCAAAAGAAAACAGCTGCACCGGTAGGAAAAGTTTTCCAATTTTGTTTAAAAGAATTGCTTCTCCAAAACAATGGCTGTATTTGAGCTGTATATTAAAGAGTTTTACAAATTTATATTATCTTTATGCTATAAAATATGCTCACATCAGTAGTTCAATATTTATTTCTTATTATGCAGTGAGAAAGTATAGACTTTGCTAAATAAGTGTGAGGTAAATAAGTTACTTTTTTGCAACATTTTGCTGATTAAATTTCTCCAAAATATTTATATTTGGAAAAATGTTTAAAATATAAAATTTAACTGACTTAATAGAATACAAAGATAAATCAAGACTTTTCATTGGTTTTTTAATGTTGCAAGCGAAAAGAAGTAATTCGTTACAGAATAAATTTCGAAATTAAAGCACCCATAAATAATTTTCTATAAATTTTCCATAATTAAACAAGCATTTTTTTACGGACTTATAAAATTTTTCATAAAAATTTAAGAGTAGAAGAAAAAGGAAAAAAAATTAAAAAAGTATCTGAAAAAAATACGTACATTAAAATTAATAATATTTTTTATCCACACATACTCTTTGCTGTAAGAATTTATATTAAAAAACAATTAAGCTCAAATTTGTCAATTGTAGTCCAGTTTGTTAAAATTCAATTTTTCGTAATTTTTTTTCAGTTTTTGAATGTTATTTTCAAAACATTTTTTCAGATGATAAACATATTATTATTAAAAATGATTAACCATTTAAATAAGAATTGTTCAGAAGTTTTTTAACACACGCCTTATAAATGAAGCAAAATTAATAAAGGGGATTGAAGAAAATTTACGATAGCTAAGATTTTGGAAAAATTATCCTTTTAATGGTTTTAATTAAAGGATTGCCATCAAATAAGAAAATTGATCATAGTAATATACTGTATCTAGCAATTTGTTTGGATAAAATATAGCCGATACGAGGCAAAAGATATATAAGCAAATTCATGTTGGTCATACTAAGTTATTACCATCTTTTGTTTGAAGATATTTTTCTCCATATTGTTTTTTCTTTTAACTCAAACTTCAGGATTAATTGATTAGCCATATTGAAATCACGTAACTTTTATAAGAGTATTTAAACTCCATTCTTTCTTATCAAGATTAATTTTTTTACGATACAGTATTTTGAAGCGATACTAGTTTTAAGCAAAAAAAAAAATTCATTGTTTGCATACGCATCTAATCATGTGCTGAATGTGTTTCAGTATCAAAGAAAAACGGTGGGGAAAAAAAACGATTTTTTGTTTGGAATATCGAGAGAGAAAATGAGCATCTAAATTTTCCTAACACTTTGAACCGCCTGTTTTCTCACGAAACCTTTTCCTTCAAATAAGCAATATTTAAAAACAGCCATTCAAGAAGCTTCTTCTAAAAAAGAAAAAATAGTAAAGTTAAAAAAGAAAAAAAAATCCTTCTAATCCACGTTGAAACCATCCTCAGAATATCCAGACAAGTTTAAGGAGAAAGGAGGTGGGAGATATATCTTTGCCAAAAAGATATTTTTGGCACCCAAAGGATCTAAGAGTTTTTCTGTAGTTGCGAGAAGGTAAACTTTTAAAGTTCTCAAGAAAACAGAAACTTCGTTCCGTATACATTGCTGAAAACGTTAAAGTGAATAAGTTATTCTGACTGAACTGATTTAACTGAAATAATTTATGGTTTATCATGATTATTTTGCTTTGAAGATATATTTGACTATTGTTTCAGCTTGAAGCATTATCTTCATTGAATCTTTGTTTGTGAACTCACTAATTTTATAAAGATAGAACATGAATACTCAAGAAGAAGTTCTATTGTTCGTTAAAGCTGGAGATGATGGAAAACGTTATGGCGGATGTCCATTTTGCCAGAGGGTATTTATGATTCTTCTAATCAAATCATCAAGAGACCAACTTCAATTCAAAGTGGCAACTGTCAATTTCGCCAAACCACCTGAAGTATTCAAAAAATTAACTCTTCGTCGAGTACCGGCTCTAGTACATTCTGATACAGCCATCGATAATGTGGATGAAATTATACAGTATTTGGATGATACATTTCCGACTAACTCATTAACCTACGACGATGTTGATGCAGACAAATCATGTTTGGACGTGTTCCAAAAGTTTTGCTATTATGTTAAGGATGTTTCCAAAGACTCTACGCAATTGGAGACCGAATTGTCCAAAATTGATGACCTTTTACGATCCAAGACTACTAGATTTATATGCGCTGACCATATAACCCATTTGGATTGTGAACTAATACCCAAACTGCACCAAATTCGAATAGCCGCTAAACATTTTAAGAAATTTGATATCTCTCCGAAACTTGTAAACTTGTGGGCATACCTTAACCGGGCTTATAATGACGATGTTTTTAAGCAAGCTTGTCCATCCGATCAAGAAATAATTTTGCACTGGGCCGAAAAACCCGAAACACCAAATTTAACTATGGAAGAAAAAGCTAGAATATCTAGAGAGGAACCTAGATTTTCTTTTGACATTCCAGCCAATTCTAGAAAGTGAAATACATGAAGGAATAAACTGAATTTAAAAGTGTGCAATGTTTTATGTTATACATAGAAAGGTTAGTATTCAAGGAACAAATTTTTGTGAAATAATGCATTAAGTTTAAAAATATGCAGGGACTGTAAGTTCATTAAATCATGTAAAACGTAAATACATATTAAGCAATATTTTTTGTGTGCTTTTAATATGTTACAAAGTGTTTTTAATTTTTGCTTTGTTTTGCTATTTCCAAAGTAATAGTTTATTAGTTAATAATTCTTTCTAAGCTTAATCAACAGTAAAAATATAATGAAGAATCTGCATTTTTTTGTAAATTGTCATTTGTAAACAATTAATTGATTAAAATATTAAAAAGATACCCAAGGAAAAGATTTTGCAATAAACCTTTAAAGTGTCTCTATAAAAACAAACTAGATTGGAAATTATTCTATTTTTAAAATTGTAAAAACTTATGAATATTTTAAGCTTTTCCATGTGGTTGTAAAAATAAAATATTAATAATTTTTTATCGATAAAATGTGTTGAACGACCTAATTTGTACACCCAAACTAGCATCCTCGATAAGATAAAAATAAATCATTGTATCAAACTCCCATATTTAGAACTACTTTTCAATTTTATGAAAATTTAAAAAAACTCACATTAGAATTAATTTTTGTTTCTTAAAGACTTCCTAAACTTGAAAATATCAATATCCTATGTTAACCATGGCTAAATCTTTTCCTGTATGATTCATAATGAAATTTAATCTACGAAAAGTTAATGCTTAGTTATCGAAACATTAAAATATTCCTTAATGCCATATTTTTGCATCCTTAAAAACATGATAAAGCAAATATTATTAATTTTCAACAGTGCAAGGCTCAACTGAAATTTAAATAAAACTATTCATCGGTAATTAATTTCATTAGCTTTATGTTCAAATACTATTTCTTAGAGAAAGAATTTGTATAAATTGCAAAAATAATTTGACTTGTAAAAAAAAATTTATTGTTTACAGTTCAATTTAATTTTTTAATATTTTAAGTATTTTAATATAAAAAGTGATTTTTGTAAGTTTAGATAAAAATATCAAAGCAAATAACAATTTTTTAACTGTCTAAAATTTTAAAGTAATTTTTAGCACGTAAATAATTTAAATAAAAATGTATTGAATAATAATAAAATATATTGAACAGTTCAAAATTTTTACAATAAAGGTTCATTGTAATGATTGAAGTATAAAATTTATTTTTACGAGAAATCTCATAAAATGGTTTATAAACTTTTCATTTTTGTACAATTTATCTTTAGAGTTAAAATATGTGAATAAATTGGTATTAACATATCATGAATAATTCAATTTTTTATAATGAAGAAAATTATTAATTAGTTTTCGAATTATTATAAAATATAAATTTAATTTTTATCTTTTAAACTAAAAACCGTAAATTATTTTTAAAAAAATTATATTAATATTTAGTTCTATTAGAATTTTTGTTTTAGATAAAATAATTTTTTTATAGGAAAACTATTGAAACAAATTAAGGACCGAAGATTATTTTTCCCAGTAACATACAAGTTAATTCTAGTTTCCAAGTTTTGTACAGTATCATCCTTTAACCCAGAAAGTACTCCACTATAAAAGTTTAGAATTAGACAAAACAATTTAATATTTAGGGGAGAGTCGGGTAACCCCGCCCACTTAAGGAGTATTGCTTATATTTCTGTATAATATTGAGTAATAATCAATATTTTTGTATGTTTCTATTGTTTTATCATCTGATTAAATAATGCAAAAAGAATAAACAAAAAAAAATTAGTTTAACTTAAAAAAATAGAAATTTAAAAAAACACGTTTTTCAGCTCTTTTCAAAATGTGTCGGGTAGCCCCGCCCAGTTACAAAAATTATGTTTTTTGACTGTTTTTTCAGGTGTAAATGAAAATGACCAATGTATTGACAATAGATAAACCTCATTTATCATTTTTATCACAAAATTATTTTATTTATTACATATTTATATACTTTTAGTGAATTCTATCATTTAATAACAATCATTTAATAACAACAATATTTGTTGTTAAAAATGCATATAACATTCAAATTTGAAGCAATAAAATAATAATCTTTGCAACCGTACATTTATCGACGAAATAAAATTGGGCGGTGATACCCGACATTCATGTGAGCGGGGCTACCCGAAATCCAATTTTTTTGTAAATTTGTAATTACTCGAACAATTTTTCACATATAAACTTCTTTCTTTGTGCAAATTAAACTTAAGACTACATACTTTAATGCTGTATGTATAGAAAAAATTATTTTTTTAGTATTAAAATGAAGTTTAATCGAAGCATTCAACCAATTTTTCTTAATTTCATGACTACTGTATTCAACATATTTTTACATATCAACAATATTGTTTACCATGTTACCAGCTGCATAAATACTTGAAACTTTGAAAATAATCTTTTTTTAATATAACAATTAATGCCCGATGGCCCATTGACTTAAAAAAAAATAGTCTATGCATATGAAATTGACAGTGGGCGGGGGTACCTGACACTCCCCTATATAGAATAATTTGTAGACTAAGGGTAGAAAATTATAGTTTTCTAACCTTCAACCAATTTTTTTAAATAAAATGTTCGATATAAATCTATTTTTAATTGTATTAGCTTTTAAATTGAAATTGAAAAATAAGTCAATAGTTTAAATTTAAGTAAGAGATCCAAAACTTTCAGAAATATTTTATTTTGCATTTACAAGAAAACAATTTCAGCTGGTGATATGCACATAATATTTTTTATCAAAAATATTCTTCTGCAATGTTCTACAAAAAGGAAAAGAAGCAATCATCAGAACATATCACGAATCATTTTGTCAGCCCGTGCAACATATATAACAAGTTGGAAGGCAAATACACCGGCACCATTTCACCCACAAGTATTTGGTTTATTTTTTTATTTTACAAAAATACTAGTCACCAAAGCCTATTTCTTTAGCTGATAAAGGAGGTTACATTCAAAGAAGTTTTTACTGCTAGCTGCAATAAACTTTTAGTGTAGAAACAGTTATTTACATTTTTGATCAACAATACCAGAAGGTAACAATGATATATAAAAACAAAAGCTCTTTATTTTACAATACTGTTTGAGCAAATCCATGCTAATTCTTATTTACACACGTGTTCGTAATTTTTATCGGCTCACTACATACTTTTCTTGCATAAAAGTGTTATTTTCAGTAATGCAGGATACGTTTCATTCGTTCATGCAAATAATTTTAAACTTAAAATTTTATAATGACAATTGTTTATCAATTGTTTGTATTTTATTTATCATAAGTACCATTTGTAAACAATAGCAGTCAAACATTAGTTTCATTGATTTATCTGTAGAAATTCAATTATATAACGAATATTGATTTAAATATTTTTTTAAAGTTATTAAATATTTTTCTAAGTTATTAAATATTTTTCCAAGTTGTTAAATATTTTTCTAAGTCCTTAAAAAAATTTCTAAGTTATTAAATGTTTTTCTAAGTTATCAAATATTTTAATATGATACAAAGTTCGAATATGATTTTACAAATCTAAAAATAAGTACTAAAAATTGTAATAAATTTATTACACAATATAGAACAATAAAAAATTAAAATAAATTCAGTAAAAACAATCATTGAATTTAAGATATGGATTAATCTTATCAGTGTGAAATTTGTTGAACGTAATTTAATATAACAAGCATTTTTAGCATTTTAAAACCTGGTTAAGTGTTTAAAAATTTAACTACACAAAGAAATTATACATTTAGGTGATGTTTTATAAATGTTTGAATCAAAAACATCACAAAAAAAGACTATCACCAATATAAATAGTTATTCAAGTGGAATGTGATATATCACTACAGATCTGACTTAGACAACATATGACTCAATACTACACAGTACTTGTTCACGACACGATATCTGGAGTTGTTCGAATCGACACTTGATCATGACGCTGTATTTTAGAAACATGATTTATAATAATTAACTTCAACAAGTTAATTTTTGTGAGCAAAATTAAATCCAAATCTTTAAAAATGTCAAGTTTTAAAAAGCAAAAGACATAAAAAAACCTTTTCACAAATTTCAAACTAAAAGCTGTCTGCTATCAAATAAAGTTAAATTCTGTAAAAAAAAAGGTTTGTACCTTTATATTCTGTCACATTGGCATTTTAGTAACTTCAACTTATATTGAAATAGTTGAATTTTCAAATCTTCCGGATGTTTTTTTTTCTTACTTTTTCCATGAAAGGAAAATATTTTAATGGAACATCAAAATGTATTTCTTGCTCTAGCAAAGTAAACTTGTAACAAAAGTTTATTTTATGTTAGTGAGGAAATAGTTCACTACATTTAGTTCGTGTTAATTCTTAAAGTTTACTGTCATCGATAAACACTTTTTGTTTTTCTAAGTTGTTGTAACCAAGGATTTGGAGGAATATCATCAGAATCTTCGTTCTGTGGAGGTTCTTGTTCCGTTGGAGCTTGGTCAGGACTGGAACAAGGACTTTTGGGTAATGTTTCAATATGTTTTTCTGGGGTGCTTGGCGGTGTTGCATCAATAGTTTTAGTAACAGGTTGTGACACCGTTCTGTGAACACTGAAGGAAAAAAAATTATTAGACTCATATAATGTTTCGGAATAATACAATTTTAAAGAATCAGAGAGAAGCATACAGCTTTAAAGAAGCGGATAACTTATCTGAATCCGACAACTGATCAGAATTATATAATGAATTAGAATCACATAATATACTAGAACAATATAATATTTTAGTAATTTTTGTAGTGGGATCATATTATACATTTATATCAGAAACAAAGAGCGTAATTTGAAAGAAAAAAAAAGTAGCATTTAGAGGGAAAAAGCAAAACTAACATCTTACTTTAAAAAAAGAGTATGAGCAAATAGTTAGTAAGAAATAAACTTTAACGACTTTAAATTTGAAAATAAGCAAAAATTACATAACTATCAGTTTTTAGAGAGATTTATCTGCTTAACATTTTGAATTAAATAAGAAGCATAACTTCTCCTAGAAGCAAACTCATAGAAGCATAAACTACTAAAAACATAATTGTGTTATTAAAAAAAAAGAGGAAAAATATTGTGTTGAAACAATAAAAATAGAAATTTAAAGCTTAAAAAAATACTTTATCCTTGATCCGTTTCATCTATCTCCTCGATTTGTGCTTCTTTCGGTAATGAGATTTCATAAAAGGTTTGGAGGAATTTAATTTTAGCACATATGAAACAACATATTTTTAGAAATATCTATAGAACTAAACTGAAAGTTGAAGGATTCATTGACACTAAATATGTTTTTCAAAAACACTAAGTTCGAAAAATGAATTTGTTCCATGATTTATAAAATAATTTTATTGGTTTCGTTCATAAAATAAATCTTAATTGCTACACCAGATAGAAATAATTATTTTTTTCCAGGGAGTACTACAATAGCAAGCTTAACTTTTTGAATATAAGTTTAAACCAACAGAATATTAATTTTTTGGTTAAATCACTTAAATATCTAGACACAATATCTATATTTATACTTTTGTAGCATATCAAACTCATGTATTTCTTGTACAAGCAAGGGTTTGAAATTCATCTGACACATTAAACTATTTTAAAGGCTAAATTAATCACTTCCGCAAAACTTAAAATAAATGTCAAGAACATATTTCCCCCCAAAACAAGTTGCACTCACATAAGAGACGTAAGTAGTGTATTATGCTGACCTTTCATATGTTGCTTTATTTTTGGTGGCTCTCTTCCAGAAGGAAAAATAAGTAAGGTGATTTTTAGTAGTTTCTTAAAGAGTCTTCCATCATTTATGAAACTTTAAACAAGAATTTGTCTTTCATAAAATGAATTCTACAACAGACATTTTATTCAGATTTATTCCTTCCACAATAGATATTTTATTTCAGCCCAAATCAAGCATTCAAAAAAATTTAACTCAGAATTATTAATTATATAGATGTATTATGACGCATCAAAAAATGAATCCGAAAAATAAATTTTTTCTTCAGATTTATTCATTTTAACATAGACACTGTATACCACTACAAACAATGCATTAAAAAATTTAACTTCAAATTTATTCATATCATCACAGATATTTTATGCCACTAGAAACAATGCAGTAAGAAACACTTTTTTCAAATTTATTTTTTCCCAATAAACATTTTTATTCTACTATGCCTTCGGAAACATTTTATTTTATTTTACTTTATTTATTATATTATAGATATATTATGCAAAATGAATTCAAAAATGTTCTATTCAGATTTAATCATTCTTTCATAGACCACTGTTAACAATTAACAGACATGTATTCCACCATAATAGAAAAAAAATCATAGGCATTTTATCCCCCCATTACCAATGAACTAAGAAACATTTTACTTTACTTTATTTATTATATTATGGATACATAATGCAGCATTAAAAATGAATTCAAAAATATTCGATTAGGATTTATTCATTCTTTCATAGACCACTGTTCACTACAAATAGGCATTTATTCCACCACAATAGAAAATCATAGGCATTTTATCCCACCATAAAAAATGAACTAAAAAACATTTTTATTCGAATTTATTATGCGAATTTTTATTTATTTTATTTGATTTTTTTAATCGAATTATTTTGTCCAAAGATACTTTTATTTTACATCAAACTTTGCCTTCAGTAACATTTTACTCTACTTTATTAATTTCACCATAGATATTGTATTTCCCACCACCAGCAATGAACATAGAAACATTTCATTCAGATGTATTCATTACTTCATAGACATTTTTATCCCAGCACTAACAATGCATTCAGAAACATTTAATTTATATTTATTATTTTCATTTTATTCCTTCACAGTAGTGCATTCGAAAACATGTCATTCAATTTTTTCATTTCTCTATAGACATTTTACTCGACCCCGAAGAATGCCTCCCGGGACATTTTATTCTGACTTATTCATTCTATTATATTCATTTTATATCTTGCCACATTCATATAATTTAAAAATATTTTACTAACGAAAAGTTATTTTTTTGAAAATTTGGATTAAGCAAAAACACAAAATTCCTTTAATTGTACGCAGAATTATTTTTTTCTGCAATCGCTTCCGTTTCGCTGTATTTTTTCTCGATTTTCCGGTAATTATCCCGTAACGGAAATACTGTTTGATGTCTGAGTAATATTTGTTATATTTTTTAGAAATACTTCATTAAAGCACCAGAAAGACAAATTAAAAAAACACAAAAACATTTCGCATTTATAAACTGGTAATTCTCGTTAAATAAGTAACCTACAGTAATGAAAAAATAAGGTATTAATTATGATAATTAGCCTTACTTCTGTCCAAAAATCATTTTTTTACTATCTTTGTATTAAAAACTTTCAATCTATTACAAACTTTCTAACCACTAAAATTATCTGACCATAGGTTTTAACATAAGAATCGTGCATTTAACTTCTTTAAACATTTTATCAATAGTGAATTGTGATGGGATTCTTATTTACAACAAAGATAGAACTGAATTGACCAACAGAAAATGTTAACAAATAAGAAATAAAAATATATAGAAAGTAAGAAATAAATTAGAAAAATAATGCAAAAAATTAAACAACCATTAGCTTACTTTAGTTGCGTCACTGGACTAGGGGGATCTTTCCTTTGCAGCAATTGTCGTTTCCATGGAGGGATGGAATTTAGTTTCTTTGCTTCCGCTTCTCTCTGATAAAATAAAATAGGACAATTTTTTTCAGGGTGTGAACAAATTAAAAATAATAAACATGGATACAAAATTATGAAACATTGTATTTCTTTTTTTTCTTCTCCGTTTAGTGCTTAAAATATTTGGAGCATTAATAGAAAAGTAAAAAAATAATAATTTGGAAGTACGCATATATACGTATTTGCGTTAAATAACTAAATAGAAAAGTGAAGTGATATTAAAGTAAAATAAGAAACATATACTGCACTGTGAAAACTCTGGATCAAATTATTGTAAAAAATACCGGCACTCAGTGTGCAGGTACTTTAAACCGTAAAATCAATTTTTGCCGGAACATGTTAAATATGACAAACCGTAATTTTTACAGTAATTATCACAAAATCACTGAATCAGTTTAATTAAATAAGTATTACAGATATTACAGTAAAAATTACGGAAAAATGGATTTTATGGATTTTCACTCAAAGTACAGGTATTTTCTACAGCGATATGATCTGGAATTTTTTACAGAGCACGAAAAGTATTGTCATGTTGAATTTCATTTATTTGTTTTCAATCAAATTTTGAAAACAAACGGTCCTCATAGTACCGTAAAATATCACACGAGTCACGCTGTCATTAAAAGTTTGAGAAAGCTTTATTAATTGCAGAAAAAGATTCAGGTGAGAAGTAAGCATGAAATCCGACTCTGTAATGGAAAATCGAGGGTGGGATTTTGTTAAATTGCTTCATCTAATAACAAAATGTATTACATATGTACCTTGAGTTTCACTAATACGAAAGTTGAAATTCATCTACTGAAATATAAAATTATTCATTCGTTTCTGATATAGTAAGAACTATTATTCTACAAATATTTATAAGTCTGGATCTGTTTCTTACAATTCTTTGTTCTTCGGCTTCTTTTTTGGCTTTTTCTGCGGCTTTCTTGGCAAGCATTTGTCTTTTCCACGGTGGAATGACACATCCATTTGCATCTACTTCTGGAATTTGATCCACGAACTTTTCCGCTTTAAAATTCTGGGCCATGTCTGCAGTCTAAATACAACGGAAATAAAATATCAGACGCTTAAATCTATTTTACTTACAGGGAGAATGTTTTCTGTTTAGAAACAAATTTATATCTAAAATTCTTAGTTATTTGACACAAAAATTTTGCAGTAATGTTTATAAAAGTGCAGATTGGAAAATAATTACAGATTTTGGAATATACTTTTAAAATAAAAATAGAAGGAATCTATTAAAAATATTAGGTACCATTAGTTAATCACAGAAAAAGTTTAATGGCTAAAATAAATAATGTCTATTGCAGACGATTTTTTAATCAAATGAATTTCAGCATAAATTATATAGCTTCATAATGCTATAAGACTAAGAAAGTTTCAAAAAATCTGTTTCTGGCTCTTACAAATTAACAGAAATGTTTAAAATATTAAATTGCAGTTCTTAGTAATAGCTAGAAATTATCTCTTTCTTTTTAAGATTTGAAGTAAATTATGTTTTAAATGGCCTTTTTTTAGTTTTAAATAAATATTTTACGGCATGATATTTTTTTAACTAATTTAATTATAAAAAAATATATCACTTAAATTTAAAAATTTGAAGATAAAAGATTTTATGAAACTTGAACCAATTCTTATACCGTGTGTCTAAACAATATAATAAATTTAATTGTGTGTTTACTAACAAAATAAGTAATCTTAAAAGACAGTTGATTCTTCTTAAAATTGCTTCAAAATGCTGAAAATTGCAAATAATTTGCGTTAAATAATTTATATATATATATAAAAAATAACAGGTAATTTGGACAAATCATTCTTACTTACCATGACTTCTTCGATTTTACTCCTTTCTTCTTTCATTTTTCTCACACCTTCTATATCCTTTGTTTGCTTCAGCTCTGCAATAAGATCATTTTTCTGCAACAACACCGTCCTCTCTGCAATACAAATATGGCTGATTATTCACAGTGCAACTCAACTCTCATGTTTCAATGTATGCTTTTTTTTTTATCGAAAATTATTCTCAACCGATCCTAATGCCCAAAATGAAGTTTAATAAGGTTTTTTTTCTCTTCATAAATTTTTTTTTTAAAAATTAGTTAATTCTTAGACTAGGTAATAGTTGAGTTAAACTGAAGTAAATACGTTTAGACAGAAAAATCTAGTCATTTGAATTAAAAAAATGTTTTGGTATGTTATGTGGTGAACTTGGATTCATGATTGTTTTGAAATAATCAAGACACAACTGATTTTTTTTAAATTAAAAAAAGGGAGTTCTCAGTGTGAAACTAATTTTGATATGATTCACTAGGTTCTAGTACATTACAGTGTAATTTCTTTTTTAATTGAGTTACATTTGTTTAAGAAAACGTTAATTAACTGATTCAAGATTTTCTCTAAAAAATTTTTATTTCTGTAAATAGTAATTCAAAAAAGAATTAAAGATTTCGAAAAATATTATGCAAAAAAAATAAATGAAACGTAAAGTAGTAAAGTTTTTTCAATAAAAAAACTGTTTGTCTGCTTATTTGCCTTGTGCGGACAAGATTAAATCTTTGATGCCTCATACTCATATCTTGATATGTGCTCTGCACTTGCATTTTGAAGCTTTAAATTCAGAATTATTGGAAAACTTTTGGCATCATAGCCAATTTTCCGGACATTTGTAATAAGCGAATACATTTTCGATAAGGAAATTGAAAAATTTAATGATGCAGAGAAAAGACAAAAAACTTGAAAAAATATTTAAAAGTAACAGTTTTGGGTTCAGTTGCTCCTGATCGCTCATTTATTTTCGTTAAATTTCGTAATCTAATTACATTTACGAAAGATTTAGCATTATTTTTTGAAATTAAAACGAAACAAGAAAACTAAACATTCTAGAAATATTTTGGAAGCGAAGCGTTTTTATTCCCAACTTTAATCGAATAAATTTTTTCTCCAAAACAAAACTTATTTTATCAAATTCACGATCAACAGATTATAACTTAAATAGGTGAAATACGTGTTATCCTATAAAATCTAAAATAAAATTTAAATATTTTTTTCATAACATTGAATGTATTTTTATATCTCTATTTATTCGGAGATAGCTTTCCTTTTACTTTAATTATTTTATTCCTGTGACTAGAACTATTGGTTTCGATATAAATCCAAGGGAAAAGTTCATAATAACAGCAACCAGAACATTTATCAACATTTAAAAACTATAATAACGATTTGTAAACAAAATAAAAGGGCCCTCAGTTGCCGAAACGTAAAATATTAAAATATATACCCGAACATAGGAAAACCAGCCTACCGCGAAGAACCCTCCTTAATTTAAAAAAAAAATAATTTCAATTTTTAATTAAACTTAATTTCAAATTTAAAATTTTTTTTTTACTTCCTTAATCATTTAATTGGGTGTGTGATCAACTCGCCCTCTAGCGGTAAGCCAATCACTACAATTCAGAAAATATTTTATAATTTTTATTAATAATTAATTATAATTCTTATTAATTACTAATAATAAATAATATTATAATTATGCAAATCGAAGCTAAATAATGATTGCTGATGTGATAATATGAAAATTTATTTCATGCAGTTAAATTTAAACAGTGCCTATATCTCCAGAATAAAATTTTGAGTTAAAAAAAGAAATGTGCAGCTATATAAAAAATGGTACACAACTGAAAGCAAAATAAAGTTATACATAAACACTTACTTAAATCAACATAATTTGATAGCATCGAGAAAAAAAAGACTTCTATCACCCACAGGGATTAAAAAAAGTCGTGTGTTAGCACAAAATGTTTTCAGATAATTCAAGGAAATGATTATTGAGCGAATGGATAGAAATTTCAACTTCACAATGTGGAAAAAGCCATATGTGAAAAATAGATTAGATTGTGTACATTTTAAGGTATCTAAGAGATAATGTTAATAGTTTCTTACTGCCTTAAACGTTGTCAGAAAGTTGCTCTCAAAATACGATGTATCGCAGAAGGATTTTTCATAAAAATAGTGTATAAAGGTTTAGAGAAATACTTTATATTTGCGTAATATATATTTTAATATTTATAAATACTAAAATTATAAAAAGCTTAACCCATAACGCAGTTTATATTTTACAGTAACTCTTTTATTGTCAAAAATTCTAATTTATTTCTTTTATTTTTGTTTTTTTCATAATGTTTAAACTAATATTTAAATTTAGTTAGGAATTAATATTATTACATTCATTAAGTTATTGAGCCATTTTTTCTATTCATTAAGATTATAATAATTTGACTATAACCTTTGTCATTTGTTGATATATATTGCGAAATTGCGAATACATTCCTTGGCATTTAAATAAATAGTAATTTTTTTTCATGATGAGATGATTTACTGTTTACTGTTCAGTTACTTAACAACCTGAATAATTGACTAATTCTTGATAAGTAGAGACTTTATAATTTAATCATTTTCAGTCAAATCCAATTATATTGCTATGAATTATAGTCTAAATATGTTTGCTTTCATATTCGTACAAAAAAAAAGATACAATTTTTTTTCATATATTTTTACAACAAAGGGTAAATTTCTCAAAATGAGTGGAAGTGTACACATTTTCAAAGCCTCATTAAATACAAGAAAATTTCTCTTAATGAAAATTTAAAATTAATAATTAGAACATATCATACCATAAACATCATCAAGTTTAAGTTTTATAAACTTATCAAATTTACTACTTAAAAACAATTTAAGAAATCAAATAGATAATTTAATGATTCATGTAAAGATATTATTATAGTTGGTTCAACGATTCATTAAAAATTATTTTAAACCATTAATTATAATAATAACATTACATTATATTTTTTTTCTCATTATAGTCAGTGTCAAATATTTTTTAATATATTTATGTATGAATACAATGCAAATTCTAAATCTAATTCTAAATCATGGTAAATTCTAAAATTGATTCAAATTTAGAAAACTGATTAAATTTTACAAAATTATTTCATCTGACTGGGGTTATTATCAAATTCAAGGCACAACAATCATCAATAGAGAAATTTTGCATACCGTTTATCATACGTTACTCGCAACGCTAACCTTATTTTATCGATGCTGAGAATTATCAGAAAATTTTCGCGTGTACGCTGTAATGCTCAAATAGCATCAGAGATGCTAGAAAGTCAGATTAAAGTCAAAGAGAATGCTTTCCAAAATCTCTCTAAAGACGAGTGATCAAAAATTTAAATGTAGAAATAAATGTATTTAAAATTTATCACTGCAATACATAGAGTTTCATTAAAACTAAAATTCAGGCACTTGATTTAAAATAAAAGATAGCCATTGTGTATTTTCTGTAACAATAGTATAATAATAATTATACTATTGATTATACTAATAATTATACTAATTATACTAATATATAATAATTGATTTGATTAGTGAAATCTAATTCCTTTTATGCTGATAAATACTTTTAATTAAAAAACATCAAAACCGAAAGCATACCAGGAGTAGATGGCTTATCTGTTTTCTTGAGGTGAACAGTCTGTAGTTGCTCTACCGTTATATTGAAAAGAGGCGTATTACTGTTACTGTTGGTCAAAGGTGCATGCGGCCTTATATCATCTCTGTTATTGACAGGACTTTGGGTAAAAGATCGAGAGTCGCTTTCCAACAAAGTCTCGTGACTCTCCGTTCTGCTACCATACGATATTTTTTCAGGTTTGGCAGACACTGCTAGTTCACCCATAGACACTGCCCTGTGAAGGGTGGAATTCGATTTAAGTGTTGAGCTTTTGGATCCGGAACTCTTAGCTTGTCTGAGATATTCCGATGGACGGATATTCTCGTTCGTGTCTGGAGGAAAGCTGAATTGCGGAGGAATGAAAGGTAGAGTTCTTTGGTGACTGTTCCTTCTTGCTGTTGCAGCTTTAACATACCTTTTGCCTTCACTACCATCCACTGAGGATTCATCTGATTTTTGTGAGGCCAAATCGTCGTCTGTGGTGCTGTCTGATGATCTGATTTTTATGGGTAGATCTGGTGGTGGTGGAGGGGGTATAGGGGCTCTTGATCTATTAATATCTGTTTCGATTTTGGGCATAGGAGGAGGCGATGGAGGCCTAGCAACAGGTTTACTCTCTTCTATTTTCTTCGTTGGTAGAGGAGGTGGTGGCGGGGGAGGTTGGTAAGATACATTTTCCAAAGATTTCTTCGTCACTGGCAGAGTGGTAACCTGATGTACCGGTGATGAATTGGTATGCTTGACGTTCTTCTTTTCTGGCGATCTCTGGGTTCCATTCTCTTTCGACAGATTGTTGTTGTTGTTTTCCATCACCGTCGCTCTCTTGCTGTCTTCATGAGTTGCATCGACGGGATTGGATGCTCTCCGAGACACGTGCGCATGGTTGCCGCCCCCGATGTAGGGGCCATCCTGTTCCGGGGGCGGCCTCTTGTTCCGAATGGCCACCAGATCCTCCTGGTGGTGAGGAGAGAAACTGACCTCATTGTCATGCAGCTCGTCCTCATCGTCTTCTTCGTCCTCTGGGTGGTGAGGAACCAGTCTATGCAGATCATCTTCATCCTCCTCCTCGTCGACGTCGTCGTCTCCTTCGTGGTAGATGCCCTCATCTGTGCTCAAGCTGCTGGCTTCTCTGCTGGTCTTTTTGTGACGGTGGGTGCCGTTGTTGTTACCTGTGCTGCTGGCCTGACTCCCCTGGTCATCGTAGTCTGGAATGGGATCACTGACGTCAGAGACGCTGTTTGAATCCTCACTGGCAGAAGAATGGTGAACCTCCACTGTCACTAAAATATGAAACAATGAGAATGTAAGTTTAAAGTTATAAGTATAGCATCAAATGTGCTAAGAGCATCCAATATATTCCTTGGTATCTAGTGAAACAAAAAGATTTTGTGTCTAAATTAAATGAAAAAATTTACGACTCGGAAAGGAAACACGTTCTGCTTACAAAAATGGCAAAACTGTGGCCAGAAAACATCAAAGTGCCACGGATCAAAAGAAAACATATCCTTAAATAAACAGTTTACAGGAGTGATAATGATAGTCATATGGCCTGACACTTTTCTGCGTCTTAAGTTTTCTTTTTTTTTTTTTTTTTTAAAAAAGAAAGGGGAGAAAAAAGAATCAAGCGTAGTAAAGTAACACTAAACGAGATGCGCTCTTTGTGTTGCAAATGCTGCCTCAATCGAAATGATATTTATACATAAAAATGAATTTCAAAAGCTATGAAGAAGCTGTCTTTCCACAATGGCTTTTAGAAATTTACAGCAGGACGCATTCGAATTCTACTTCTTCTGTAAATATCATGCAAGGATAAAACAATTTTAAAATAACGTTCAAAATTAACCGTATTTGCAAATGTATTAGTAAATATTGTAGTTTAAATACTATATTGTTATACTCTCGAGATTAGTAATAAAAAATATTTTTGAATAAAAAATTGATAGTGGAAGAAGAATGCTAATTTTTCATTTTAATTTTAGAAGCGCAAAATTATACTTACCTATTTGAGCGGCGTTGGTATTATTGTTTATGTTGTTGTTTACTGTGTTGTCTGTCGTGCCATTTTCTTCTTTGACGTTCTTCTTGTTTTTGTTGTCAAACAGCTTCTTGACTCTGTCGTCTGAGGTCATGTTTGGCTCGTGAAGAAAGAATGGTTCTTGGGAGGTGTTCAGCGTATCTGTAGAATTATGTCTGGTGTTACCTTCGTGGATACTTCCTGTACCACCGTTATATCCAGAGTCCATGCGCTTAGAGTGGGTAGAGGAACTACTAGAGCATCTCCTGTAATTTCAAAGTAACATGAAGATTACAATTGAAACACTCAAGGAAAGTAACTGGTTGTACAAATTTATCCCGTTACCTGTACCTGTGATTGGGATTGTTCGCTTTGCAGTGTCGTTCTTGGGAGTGATGGCGGTGACCATTAGAGTGTTGCGATCGGCTTTGATGATGGGAACTGTAGAAATTCCAGCCAGACAAAACGGTGTGGGGTGCACCACGACCAGGTCCCTGAATCGAAGAACGGGTACTGCTTGTGGTCGTATCAGATGGATAATCGTCTGTAAGACTACAGCTTTCTTCTGATCCAGTAGATTGGCAAGAACAACCGTCAGAATCCTTTAGAAACAAATATATTTTTAATTGATTTCTTACCACACTGTATAAAATGGATAATCAAACATCATGAAACTATGTTCGTTTTTTGACGAAACCGTTTAAGGGTATATGCTCCAAGCGAATTTTTCGTCATACTGACGAAATAACTATCGTTACTTCTTCGAGGAAACGAATTTCGTCAAAATTAAAGAAATATTTCGTCATTCTATTATTTACAAAAAAATTTATAATAAAAATAATAAATAAATAAAATTTTTGTGCCTAAAATATTTAATTGTTTCTAATAATCCCTTTTTCGTGAAAACCATATAAATCACCCTAACAACACAAGAGTTATATATAGAACAAAAAGATAAATTGCACCCATTCCTGAAGAGGAATTCGATCCCGGGATCTTCCTGGTATTTACTTTATTACTTTATTTTCAATCGCCTTGTCTTCATTCTAGTTTCGTCATTCTAGCATCTGTCGCAATACACTACGAGGAGGTTTCGAGTTGAGGAAACACTTTCGTCATAAATTTGAGATTTCAAGTTTCGTCACAAATCACGCGATTTCATTACTGCAAAGTATTTTTTTCTCATAGCCAAACAGAAAGCATAACACTATCTTTTCTATAAAAAACTGGAGCAACTGTCGCTATTTTATCTATTTATCGATTTTTTATTCTACGGAACAGTAATTTATGATATCAAGAAGTATAGGTCTAACGCAAATGCGTGGAAATGTCAGTGTTTCAATTTTACATCAAGCGAAATAATTCTTATTTTGATGCAGTTAAACTTTGTTACAAGTTTTGGGTAATAAATTTGAACATCTTAAAAAAAAGTTAACAATGAGTTCTTCCAAGTAAACACGGAATGGAAAAGAAAATACGAATGAAAATTTATCAAGACTCAAAGATTTGAAAAATTGCGCAATTGCTTCAACGCAAATCTATGAAGCATAACATAGATGAAATTTAAAGGCTTTAAACACGAGAAGTGGTAGCTAAAACGTAAACATGGGAGTCAAAAAAATTTTTTTTTCCTTTATAAATCATGACTAAATTTATGTAAAAATTATATATAATATAGAAGTTATAAAAGCCATTAGTTATAAAAGTGCATTATTTTAAGCGTATACCTTTTGAAGTAACAAAGTGAAAACTGTTTGACTTTCAGCTGAACAGGTGCTTTGCTATTGTTTAGCCATACTACCATTTAAAGGTTAAATGAATACTGAATCATTATATTATGAAATTTTTTAAGCTTATCCACTTCCTTGTCATTCATTTAAAAACCTTTTGAATTCATTGTTATTAAACTTCCCGCCTTGTTCTTTTAAAAAAGTGAAGGGAAAGAACAAGATCATAATTCTTTGAAAAGCTTTAAAGCAGGTTTGTATACTCAGTTTCTATAATTAAGACATTTACACTGCAATATATATAATATGGTTTTGGCACCACGAACACATATAATGGGTATTAAGCCAAAAGTGACTCTAAGTCAATAACCAGGGGGGATAAGGCAATGTGCTTTATCGTTTAAGAGCCTATCACCTTTTTGAGAAAAATAGCCCGAATAGTGCACTGTCTTAAGCTACACATAGTAATTTTAGTGTTTTTAAATCCAAAACAGTAAATTTTTAAGTGACTTAAGTACATTATTGCAATTCTTCCAAATATTGCCTAGGTTACTTTTGATAGTATACTCATGCTATAAATATATGTAATTTTCGATATAACTGCTTCTGACTACTAGATTATTATTACCACTACTACTAATACTACTCTTACTAAATTACTATTACTACAACTTCTTCGATATTACTATTTAAGCTAAAATTTAATTATTTCAATGATTTCTGAGATGAAGAATTATTTCTACCCAATATTATGTATACGAATGCATAGATTCGCTTTAAAAAAAACAATTTTTCTTAACGCTTATGAAAAAATCCATCTGAAAACCGCAAAATGGCGTATACACAAAACATACGTATACACAAAAGTAGGCTTAACAGATGTGCTTAACAGACTGCAATAACACATGGTAGATACGTGGCTGTTGCTTTCAACACTTTTTCGTTAAGGTTCTTTGTGGATGCATCATAAAACAAAAAAATTGATTTCAGAGTTATTGGAAAGAATTATTTTGTCTAAGTAAACACTTAATATATTTAAAGAATAAGTATTAGGACTTTTTGGTATTTATGTACATGTAGTGAAAGTCAAAATAATTGCGAATAAACTTTGGTAAATTAAAATATCAAAAACATTAACGTATAATTATTGTTACCACCGTAGAAATAAAACCCTTCATAAGAATCAGAAAATAAGATGCACTTAAGAAATAAAACGGTATCTTATTTATAGTCGATCTTTTAATGAAATGCATTAAATTAATGTTTATTTCGTATTAATGCCCTTTCTTAAAAGAACATATACTGGAACCTACGGAAATGTAAAATGTAGACTCGATAACTTCTAGTATTTTTATATAATTTATTTAAAAGTTTGAAAACATATAGTTCTGCTTCACATAGCACTGTTCCAAATTGTATTGCAGTTCTTCATTAATTAAAAAACAAACGCTGAGTTTTTTTCCCTCAATATATCGCTATTTTTTCAGTAACTTCTGTTCAGTGAGTTCTAAAAGGAAGTAAGAAAGTAAATAAAATCGCTATTTTTAATCAAAGATGCATCGAGGCTATAGATCCTGCATTTTAAGAAAATAACTTTAAATAGAAACAATTGATAAGCCTGTTGTAAATGAAATTTCTGAATTCTCTGGCAACCATTTCTCAGTTGAAAACATGTTTAGAGAGTTTATCTTAAATTTGAAATTCCCGAGATAAAAATACTTCTTTAATCAAGAGTTATTTGAATTTTATGTATGCAGCACTTGTTTTATCTATAAAATATTCAAAGTAAAAGCCATTTGGGGGATAAAATTTTGATAAGAATTTAATTTTCAAGATAATTTTTTAATATTATTTAAATAAAGGCACACAATAAAATGTATTTTCATACAGATAAGAGTATATGATATCAAATTTATGTTAAATATAAAGATAAACGAAAAAAAAACAGCCTCATGAAAGTTGTAAAATTTTCTTTTATAGTGATAAAAGTCTATCAAATGCATTTTTAAGTGCAATTATATTTTAATGTTATTATCGGAGCTGTGTTCAAGAGTCGAAAGTATTCGCTCGACTCCGAATAATTCTGACACCAGCTCGGTATGTTAGTAGTACCGAGTAGTACTTAGTAAAGTAGGGTTTAGTATGTTAAAAGTTAGACCACTTTGGAAAGTTAAAAGAAGAAAATAGGCCTTAAATATTATAAACATTGTTTAGAAAAATCTTTATAATTATTATAAATAAAAATATTACTTGCATAAATAATATGAATAAACAAATTTAAATTATAAAACTAGTTCATTACATTTGAAAGTGTCTATGTTTGATCGAACTATTGAAAAAGAATAAGAAAAATTACTGAAACTATTTAAAGAACGAGCTTTAAATTTTGACAAACAGCAAAATGTGGTGCTTTAATAAACAAAACAAAAAACCTATAGTGATTTCTATCGATCGCCTCCTAGACAAAAAAAATTTGAAATTGAAAGGTTCAGTTTAGTACGTCAGTCAAATTCGGTTCTTTACAGTTCAGTTCTTTAATTCTAACCGTGCTCACAAAATACATGTAAACATTTTGAAATCAACATTTACTTAGCAATACTTGTACAATTGTTAGCAATACTGTTAATTTTTTCTTGAATTCGGTGAACTTTCTTATAGGCTATAAGTTGGTGTTGAATTTAGACTCTAAGAAAAGTTAAAGTCGGACATTTGCGAAAAACATGTATGGCATATCAAAAAGTTTGAAGACATAACCTTCTACAGAATTACCAAGAAATGTGTAAGATTATTCATTAAAAACCTTATTTTTTAATGACTTAGTTTATCGAAAGAACATATTAAATGTTATTTTGGTGTATTTACAAAATAGTCAGTTTTATAATCTATAACTCCCCCATTAATAACGCTATTTTTTTATTTTCTGACATAGCTTAGAGAAAAACCATGTTAAGTGGTATTTTAGTTTGAAAACTATCAGCTTTTTTTAAAATATGAAATCACTAAAAAGTCGTCTATGAGTTTCCGTTAAAAACCATATTATTTTAAAGACTTATTTTTGAGGAGAACAAGTCAGTAAGTTTATGGATGAAAGTAAGTAAAAGCTTCAGTAGTAAGTTTTCTTTTTATTAAACTCGTCACATTTTAAATAACTGTCATGATAAATTAATAATCTTTACTTGCATACGACTGCAACATGTTCTCCAGTTTTAGATTGAACACGTTCTTCCACTTGTATTTTAAACTAAGCTGTGTAAATGATAATTCTAAAGTTAGAAGCTCTTCTAGTTGTAAAACAATAAGAAGTAAAAATCAGAAACAAAAAGTTATTAGGTAAACAAAAAGAAGTATTGTAAACCCGTTTCAGTAGAAAAATTAACAGAATAAATCGATTAAACTTAGAATTCCACTATTACTGTATTTCATGGCAGTTTTCTTCGAAGAGAACACTTTCACGAAAGAAAGAGAGAGAAAAAGAACAAAAGAGCACATTCCTATCGTCTGCAAATGCAGCAATATACGTTTTAGCCACCCCTCCACACATGTTAGAGAATAAAAAGAGGTTTCAAGGGTAAAAGAAGAAAAATTTACTCCGTTACGAGAAAATGAAGCGCTATGGGGTAATATCTCTTGTGAATGAATTGTGAAATAAATGCATAAAGTTTGCAATTTAGTTCATGTATGAAAGAACAAAAAACGTAACCAAAACAACACAGTGATAGAAAATTGTATACCAATCCTTAGAAATGGGAAAATATATCCATGTAAAAAAAGTGAATTATAGGCTTTAGTAACAGCGAAGAGGATAAAGTATCATGTAAAATTTTTTAACTTTTCTAAATTAAGAGTTTTTTAAGCTGTTTTCTCAACTGCTTGTAAATTTTTATAATTTA